CACATACTTGTGTGGAAACTCCAAGAGAGAATGGCAAAGCACGTCTTAATGCAGTAAAATATGTGTTCCATCATTGTCAGCTACATACAACGTATACTCTGCTGCTTACTTGCAGTCTTTGCTGTCTCCGTCACGAATATCTTGTTGCTATGGCAACATATTTACAGTAAATTCAAGGTTTACCAGCGCGGTAAAAATAACATATAATAACACATACAGCAAAAAATAGCACTGTTGCATACAGAATCGTTGTCAATATCCATGTAAATAAGACAGTGGAAAACCGAATAAGCGAGTGTTAACATGAGTTTAGAACTGACATCTTAGTACTCGGGACATTGCCATAAAAGCCTCGTCTCTATTTTCAGCACCGAGTTCCTATTCCGAATGTACCGGTAAGGTAACAGTCTGGGGGTATGTCTCTCTCGCCTTTCCCCTCACTGTTGAGCGTCGGTTAATTCTTGCAATACCATTTTCTTAGACCATGATGATTAGTTTGTGCCTCTGAAATGTTCACTCGCGGACCCCCCCCCCCCCCTTTTTTTTCCCCTTTTTGTTTTGATTTTAAAAGACCCTTACAACATCTATCTTGTCAGGCATCAGTTTACCACTAAGTGGTGCAAAACCAGCCAGTCTATCGGTCTGTTCGTTCAAACACACCTGTGCACCCTGCAGAAAGTAACCAAATGCTAACTACCAGGAAATCTAGAACCTATGCATGACAAACTGCATGGAGCATACCCGTCTCGACCTTTCTGAACATGCCCTGTGAGTCGCTTTCAACCACATCATCTGTGTGCAAATGATTCTTAAGCTAGTAGGAGACTGTCTCCAACCTAATTCTTAAATAAGTTTTTGTAGTATCATATGCCAGGCTTTGTTTAACTAAGCGACGTCCACTCGCTTTTGCTACGATCCCCTATGCTCTGTGTGTGCTTCTCAGCAGAGGACCATCTGTCATATCATCTGGGCTTGAAGATGACCTACTAAAGTAGGTCATGGCTTGAACAAATTGTATAACTTCTGATTGTGAAGAACCCGCTGGCCAGACTCCACACTCCAACCATGCTAAGTAAGTCTGATTGATGCTCAGACGCTTAGACATACTCCTCTCCTTGTCCAAAATTATCAAGCCTGCACAAATGTCTAATTGTATATTTAGTTCACGGGCCATCCTTTTCAGTCTTTCACCTTTATCTTGATCTGGGATTTTGTGCATGGGGTGTGTCTTGTCTGCGGCTACTCTGAGATATGGATTTGCAGCACTTTGCAGGACTTTGAGCCTATCTGTAACAGTCGGTAGCGAAGTATGGCCCCCATGGCTTCATTCTATATACTTTTCAATTTTATCAGCTGACTCTTTGATACGGTAAAATTCCCGGTCTGTGAATAATAAAATGATAAAGTGTGAAAATCGATGAGCAGCATTATTTGTCCCATTTCGATTGCTGCCATAATCTTGAGGACCTTGAGTGCTTTTTGACATTTTGCTGCAACTCCCTCCATGTGATATCAGAAGGACACGTTTTTATCGAATGTGTTATGCAGGTACCTCAGTTTGCTTTCTCTATTGATGTTTCTATACTTAATTTTGAGGCTCTGTATATAAGCTCTAACAATCATATTGTCCAGATAGCATCATAAATCAACTGTTTTTTTCCGGGTTGATGACATAGAACCACAAACTACTATGGGCTACAACCTGCTATCAGCATGACAACAAAAGAAGAAAAGTCTATTCGTTATTGCTACAGTAGCGCCAAGTCGACTGTGTCGGCTTAGGACAATGTTAGATATTTTCACCCACTTCACCCCTACGCTTATCGTATAGCTAAACATTGATGATAAATGACAGATAAATATATATGACAGGTCAGATGTGGTCAAAGCCCTTTGGAAACAAGCAACGGCATCAGTAGAGATAGAAGCTTATTATGGCCTGGCGAGATTGAGGCATCTGGGTGTAACCAGAAGGTTTGGCCGGCTCACTACACTCAGAGGAAAGGCAAGACTGACATACAACCAGATTGTGAACGATACCATCAGTACTGGAACTCTGCGCTGGTTGCTTAAAATGAGAACGGAATGCTCCGAGTGTTGTGATGTCAATTCTTGACTCAACTCAACTCAACTGACAAATAAAGATACCCCGAGGAAAAGCGAAGCAGTTATGAAATGCATTGAGACGACCATAACGACCGCCCTTTAATTCTTGATTACTTTCATCGCTGGAGCAACAGACAAATCTGGTGCTATGTGCCAGATGCCTTCTTTGTCAACTGACATCAAAAACAAAGTAAAACAGACAAGAAGAAATAAAGATAGAAGAAGGAACAGGAAGAGAAGAAGATCAGACGAACAAGAGACCGTTTAGACTAAAGTACGTGAGAATATGTAAACCTTGGGGTGCATGCAGTCATACTGACAAATAAATGCAACAAATGTAAATAAAAAGCTACACGGAGGGAATGGAAAAGGTGCGCACAAATACAACTGAACGTTTCGACCATCTCGTTTTTGCTCTGACGTAGTATTAAATACAACACAAATTGTACCTGGACAACTCAAAGGACAAGACGCCAGAGCTTGCTTAGATCATCTAGAAATGAGGAACACCTATCAGGGATAAATATGGATATGAAGAGATATTTTATGAAACGAGAAGCAAAGAAGGCGTCTGAAATTAAGCAACAATAACAACAAAAACAACAACAAAAAGAAACAAACAAACGAGGACAAATATTAACACATTAAATAAGTAAATTAAGTCAAACCAAATTAGAAAAGAAGGAAATGAATGCCGAATACTGATTCTCGTAAGCCTGAAAACGCCGAAACTGGGACTGTTATCTATAGTAAGAATAAGACCCGGGGTTGCTGATACCAGCATCGATCTTGACTAGTGTCCCAAAAAGCAAAAGTTACCTTACAATGGGAACTTCTAGGTGACCATGGGAGTCACCATCTGCCATGCTCAGTGTTGATGTACAGAGGTGGCGAAATAAGGGCTTTAAAAACAGAGAGAATCTTAGGTATAATGGTAAGAATTCAAATAACATTGAATGCTTTAAGGACTTTAAATACAGAGATAATCTTAAGTGTAATGATAACAACTCAAATAACATGCATCCTTGCATGAAAAAAGGCACGGATATAGATTTTAAAACGTACCAACGTGCAGCCTTATTGGAGCAGCTGTAGGAGGATGAAAGGGCAACAGTCAAGAGATGACAAAAATGAGGAAGGTGTCAACAAGATCAAGAGAAAGTTGAAGAAGAAAAGAAAGTATAAGAAGCAATGTTCAAACTCTGCGCCACTGAGGCAAAAAAAAAAAAAAAAAAAAAAAAAAGGAAAGTGGAAGAATATCAGCAATATCAGTGGTGATAGGCCATTAGGTAAGTTATGGAAGTTCTACAGACAAAAGAAGGCAAAAGATTCTGATAAGGAATTGCCAACAGAAAAGGAGAAAGGAGAGAAATTGCCAGAAAGATTCATAGCCAAAACTAAACAGAACTTAAGAGGCATTAGAGACTGGATAAGAAAAAAACCTAACACATCTGATCAAAACAAGTAGGTATGAGAATGACATAAAAGTTAAGAACATCAGAAAAATGCTAGGGAAAGAGAGAAAAACACATGAAAAGTAGCGCCTCAGGACCAGTGGAGTTATGTATAGGCATACGAAAGACATGAATGAAGAGGACATGGAATTGGTGGCAGAGATGTTCAATAACAGCATCAGAATGATATCTCTGTCCCAGGGCAGCTAAGCTATATCATAGCTACATAATTCCAGCGCCTAGGCAATACCAGGGTCACTCTAGTCTAAACAGGTACCGGATCATCGCCCTGCAAAATACATACTTCAAGGTTATCCATAAGAAAATGGCTAAACAGTAGTAAGAGTATTTCTAATGTTGTTATTTAAAGAGCACCCGTAAAACACTGGCCATCGCAGAGTCCAACCTTGATTCAAAAAATGCACACCACTTTTCTATGTCATGTAAAGCACTTTGTATGTTACTGGTCATGTCACGCCTATCTCACCTAGTTCTGCACAGAAGGATATGATCTGTAAATGTCAAGATTCCTCTTGGTGCCGCGGACTGTCTTTTGACCAGACTTTCTGTATTAACAACACAGGAATAATTGGATTCATCGACGGAAGCCAGGACATGTGTGTATTGGATCCGATTTTCACCCTCCGAAACAAAATACCCCTTTTCTGCCCAACAGGGCTGCTGTTTCTCAATTAGTCAAATAAGGGCTTAATCCCTGGTCATACTGAAGTCAAGTATGGTGAAGCACGTCTATACCGTCTTCGAGACAGGGATAGAAGACGTTCTAACCAACCTCTCATGGTAACAATTAGTAGAAGTACCTTGGATCGGCTGCTGCATCGGAGTACTGAGCACGCATGAAATTCCCAATGTGCTGTAATGTCGACTATGATAACATAAAATAATGTAACACTGAAGTTAACGCCGTTTTTGTCATCTTACAAATTTACAGCCTCAGCTATTGTTTCTTTTCTTTCGCTGAAATCCTTCACATACATCAGATGCCTAAGTGCCCACAGCGTCGCATGCTGCCTATGGCTGGTTACCCATGGTGTCGGGGGATATGCACATTCTTCTTCTTCTTCGGTTCGCTTGAAACAGATTATCTATATCTGCAATGTTGTCTCTAGTGTTCTTTTTTTATAAGACATTACTTTCTTCGCTCCATTCTTTGCCAGAAGGAACAATCGACTCATAACATACTACTGACAGTATGAATGGCTTATGGAGCCTTGAAAATGTTAGTGTACTCACAACGCAGTATAAACTCTTCGTGTAGCTCAGCTAACTTGTACACTGTGAGAGAAGGATGTAGTGAGAAAATCTTGTGAGTGGATCATAAAAAAGCAAAAGAAAAGGCCAGAAAGAGATTAGTCAACACTAACCATTAGCACTGGGCATCTCTTACTAGGATATATGTGTTCTGTGCATAGCTGGAATCTAATACTGGGTGTAAAACACCCAATAGGCCATGTTGAACACGAGGAAAGAAGAAGGAAATAGAATTCTTGAGATCTTGTCCACCCTTCTTGCTCTCATCCTAGACCGGGAGGGACCACCAATTGTCACTTGCCTTGGCGGTTTTCCGTTTGCCTAAGGGAGAACAAGTAAAACAGATACCCATTTTTTTTATAGGACAATTTGTATGTGAAAATATTATTACATTTAATTTACAAGTAAATTAATTTTCTTAAAGTGCTTTTCAGCTTCTGACATCCATCTAAGACATACGGCAGTCATTTAACCAAGTGCCATCTCCACCCTGATGGTTGGCTGCAATGGATATCCAAAAGAATCCGTCTCTTGTTCCTGGGTGTACATTACGATAAAGTACTATTCAGCCAACTCTGATGGTATCATCTCACCTGTAACTTTATCGACACCTTCAAGTCTTTAGTCTTGCATGGTTGTTATAAGGTCTTTAAATTTTTTTCTTTATTAAGTCTGTTCAACGTAGAGATGCTCATTATGTCTGTTTCGTGCACTTCAATACATTCATTATATACCTGTTTCCCCATGCTGTCTAAATCTCTCTGGGTCTGCACCCGTTTCTCTTACTCTCCATCTTTTCTCCTGTTACAACGTAGTGCAGTTTTATCCTTCTCCTGACACGACATGCCCAAAGTATGGATTCTCTTTACTTTCAATATACTGTAAGCGCATCTCCACAGCCTCCATGCCAGTTTTCACCAATCAGCTGACTACCCATAATTCATTTTCATACATCAGATCTGGCTCTTTCATACATCAGATCTGGCTTTAACAGAGTCCTCTTTCTCAGATTAAGTAAACAAAAATAATAAATCGTATAAAATATTTCTAAATCACACGAAACCCTTTTTAATTGGGCCATTACAGATTTAGCTACTTTATTATATCTTCTATTCAGTGTTATCAATGTAGCAAAATGAGTGAAAACATCGCCCATCACCACCATCAATCAGCAGGTCGCTCTCGTCACTGCACATAAGCAAGTAAGTAGATTTTACCCCACCAGGACATCACACAAGCGATAAACACCCGGTGACACTAGGTGCCACCATATGGACGAGGATCACCCTTAGAGAGGTCCGGGAAACCGCGTTTAGCCTTCTGGCTATATTGCGGCCCTTGGCAGTTTTTTTCTTCCCCACTATGTATATTTCTTATCATGAAACGGTCTTGGTTGACTTTTGGAAGGTTTATTTTTATTAGTTTTAAGAAGTAATGCAGACTATAACTGGGATAACAGTGGGTCAAAGAAAGCCCTACGTAATTGCTTGGTTTTCTCGTGCAAAGTCACCTTCATAGTGACCTGACTCCGAAATAAGACGTCGGTCAAGGTAGTTTAGTCAAAGGCGCATCTATAAATTAGTGTAGAGTTATTGTGATATACACCTAGCTTATAAAAGCTTACATAGATGTCAATTTGAAAATGAATTTGAGATGCAGATTTATAACTATGCAGCAGGTTACCGTTTTACCGTACCAGCACTTCCTCAGGGAATCTAAGATGGGCCATTATTTTGTGATATTCATGACCCAGAGAAACGAACACGATTGGCGCTTGGTCTAGATAATACATAATTTAACCGTTAAATTAGACAGGACACAGAGAACACTCATGTCATGCAAGGAAATAAAATAAAATGTGACTTCTCTGATGTAGATGTCATTGGACGTGAGATCTTAATATGACAAATCAACTTGTTAAAACTGAAATTAACATTGAAATCACAATACAGTATTGACATTTCAAAAAGTAGTCTGTGGAAAATTGTAAGAACCGCCGGGTTTACTTTCATGATAACTGTAGTTACAAGGAATATTATTTGTGAAAAGCCACATTTGATTGCTAGTCGAAGCAAATACCCGGGGCAGATCCGTGAGCGACGAATGCAAGGATATGATATTGTATAGTTGGATGAATCCTGGGTATTAACCCCAGGATTCATCCAACACCTGTTTTAAAGTATGGCAATCAATAAACGGTGAACAGTAAAGGAGTATTCCAAGCAGCAAATGCCAGCGCTATATACTTATGTAAGAAGCAGTGAAAAAGGCCTTATCCGCGATGTTGGACTTATTTTGTAATTAAAAAGTACGGATGATAGGGACTTAAACACTGAAATAAATTGACACATTCTCAGGCACTGGATGGATAATGATCTTCTTCCACTTCTGGACAGACCATCATGCCTAGTAATGAATAATGCCACCTATCATAATGCCATATCAGATGAAGACAAAGTACCATCAATCAATCAATCAATCAGGTGCCGTCTCCACAATGAAGGTTGGCTGCAATGGATCTCCAACAAGCCCTGTCTCTTGCCCTTGATGTACACTCACTCATACTGCTGTTCGTCCATCTCTTGATGTTATCCTCCCACTTATAACGCTGTCTGCCTTTTGCTCGCCTACCTTGAACCTTTCCCTCTAGGATGATCTTTAAAATACTGTTATGTCTGTTAATGTGGCCAAAATATTTCACTTGTCTCTTTTTTATTTCACCTAGAAACTCTCTTTTCATTCTCAATTTCCGCAGTACCTCTGTATTTGATAGCTTTTGTTTCCATGAAATACGACCTAATCTTCTGTATATCCACATCTCCAAAGAATTGATACGATTTTCCAGTTGTTTGTTCATTGTCTATGTCTCTGTGCCATACAGTAAGGTTGAGAATACATAACATTTGACAATTCTCATTTTTAATGTATTGCTTATTTCTCTTGATGTCAGTAACTTTTGCATGTTGTTGAAAATGTTTTTGGCCATCCCTATTCTTTTCTTGACTTCTGTTTCACTTCTGCCGTCACATGTTATTACTTGTCCAAGATATAAGAAATTTTTAACTTGTTCCAATTTCACCCCGTTCACTGTGATATTCATTGTTAGGTGATTATTTTCTTTGCTAAATATCATGGTTTTTGTCTTTTTCAAATTTATATCTAATCCAAATTCTGCACTCCTTCTGTTTACTTGCTCCACTAGGTCTTTCAACTCATGCTCACTCTCTGCTAGCAACACTGTGTCGTCAGCATATCTCAGATTGTTTATTATTCTACCATTGATGTGCAGTCCTATAATTCTACAATTTCTTTAAAAATGGTTTCTGTACATAAGTTGAAAAGGCCAGGCGACAGCACACATCCTTGTCTTACTCCTCTCTTGATCTCTATCTGGGGTGAGCAGATGTTGTCATATCTTACTGTTGCTTCTTGCTCCCAGTATAAGTTTATAAAAAGTCTGATATCCTTTCCATCTAGTCCTATGGTTTGAAGAGCTGCAATTAGTTGTTCATGTTGCACTCTGTCGAAAGCCTTTTTGTAATCTATAAAACATGCATAAATATTTTTCTGAACTGCTATATATTTTTCAGTCAGCATCTTTAGACAAATTATGGCCTCGCTAGTACCACTGTTTTTACGGAATCCAAATTGCTCTTCAGAAACTTCTTTCTCTATTTTATCTTGAATTCTTGCTTGTATTATCTTCAAGAGTAACTTAGTTTCGTGATTCATTCGGCTAATAGTTCTGTAATCTTCCTAATCAACAGATTTTGATTTCTTGGGTAGTGTGATAAAAACAGATGTTTTCATGTCCCTGGGAATGTACCCATAGTTATAAATGTCATTGCATATTTCTGTGATAGTATCAATTCCAAAAGTAGATAATGATTTTAACATTTCTGCAGTTATGTTGTCTGGACCTGCAGCTTTTCCCTGCTTCACCTGTTTAATGGCTTTCTCTACTTCAGACTTTAATATGTTTGGTCCCTCTTGAATATTATGGATTGGCGGTTTGTCACCTCTGTTGTCCCAAAACAGGTCTTCTGTGTATTCAGTCCATCTTTTTATTATATCTTTCTTATCAACAATAATTTGTCCATCCTTCCCCCTTATACACCCATTTCCTGTTAAATGTTTTTCCTTGTTTGTAAGTTTTAAAGTACCATCAAGTAACATCAAATACATGGGAGTTAAGCATGGTGAAGCACGTCTTTGCCGTCTGCGAGGCCGAGAAAGGAGACAATATAACCAGCTTCTCATGGGGACAATTAGTAGAAGTACTTTGGAGTGGCTGCTGCTTCGGAGGACTGCGCACGCATGGGTATGCCCAATGTGCAGTGACGTCGATTGTGATAACAAAACACAAAATAACATTTTGTAGGAAGTCGGCATTCCGAAACCCAAGTTCAAGGTGTCTCCTTCGTGCCAAAGAACTGCATGGCTGTTGGGTGAACAGTCGTTAACGAAGGCAGTCAGGTCGTTGTAGGGGCGACGCCTGCTGATGGATGTAATGTCCTAAGTCCCTTTCCCAGCTAATAGTGAGGGTACTGCTGGGGTGACCATTTGTTAATCCCTCACATAATGCTTCAGGTCACAGTGGACGCTAGGCACGGCCACTTTTTCAAGCCGTGGCAGTTCTGCCAGGCGGTGGCCGTTGCATTTTTGCTCCATTTGTAGACTGGAAGGATATAGTTTCGTCGCCCAGCTTCTGAGTTGAGTGCATGGTGTGACACTGTGAGCTACGAGTGTTTTTCGTTGGCACAGGAGCGGAGCAACAATGGGGTGACCCGTTTGCTATGATGCTGAAACTAGGATTACCAGATTACCAGATTACCAGATCGAATACAAGAGATCCAATTATGACATGGCTTGCTAAGAAGAAAGTCAACTTTGACGATACATATTTGAAGGCAGAGTTGTTGTAGCTCGTAAAAAAACAAAAACAAAAAAAAAAACAAGATAAATGTGCATGACATCGACACAATCATTAACGAATAAGGCCACACTTTTCTGCGACTTTCTGCATATGGTACACAACTCGATAGAGTTTGTTTGGGCTAAAGTCAAAAGACAAGTTGTGGAAAAGAACTGTACATTTAAAATGTGTGATGTTGAAGTTCTGACACGTGAGTTTTTCTAAAAAATAGACATTCATTTTTGGTAAAAAGTGTGTTGAACAAGTGCCCTGGAGGAAGAGTAGTACAGGCACCGAGATAGATTACAATTTGTTCAGCTAGTAACAATTATCAACCTTTTGGGATCGTCAGTTTCAGAATGATACAAGCCATTTTTTCGATGAGTGGTTGAATATCATAAACCCGTTAGGTACATCTTCAATTGCAACAAACACATCTTAATTTCCAAATGTGTCAACCATAATACAATTTGCCATGCAGTTAAGATACACCCTGGGGTCTAATGGTGACTGAAGGGGAATACTAACTGTTGCATATTGGGGAAATGTTTACAATTGAACAAAGCAGACAGATTGACTGGAGGTGCACCACTGGGTGTTGAGTTGATACATGACAAGGCAGATGTGGTCAAGGCCCTTTGGGAACACGAAAAGAAAATAGATTATCATGGCCTGGAGAGAATGATACACCTGGGTATGACCAGAAAGCCTGACCGGCACACTACACTCAGAGGAATGACAAGATGGACATATAATCAGACTGCGTCCGGTACCATTAGTATTGGAACTCTGCGCTGGCTGCTGCAGATGAGGAAGGAGTGCATATGGGAATGCCCCGAGTGCTGTGGTGTCTGTCTTGACCCAGCTCAACAGCTCAGTTGAACATAAATGACAACAGATAAATTTACCTCACCCATCAATGTATTATAAAGACAAACCTAGGAAATAAAAATAGAACCGGTACTTAAGATTTTTACTGTAAAATCTAAAAGCTCACTCCAGTTATTTACAATGGTTCGAAAACATCAAAGGAATTAGCTGGTATTCAGCATTCCGAGCATCTAAGAATACCGATATTTTTGTGTTATGGATATTCTAAGGCTGCATGCAAAAAATTGTTGCGATCCAACAGGAAGTTTTTGAGAAAATGGCTTGCGAGTGTGATCATGAGATCTTGAACGAACTATAGCTCGAATGAGGACCTTTGTATTTCCACGTAACGAGTACTTTTAATTGTTACCACTCCCTCCCCCCCCCCCCCTTCCTTTCCGATAAGGGAATGCGGATACTTTTTGACTCACTCTTGTACAAGTTAACTGCCGTGAGAAATGTTCACCTATCTTTGATTTTCACCTACAGAGTGGTCTTCTTTCATTTACTTGTGTTACTTTCTTTCCCTTCCCCGTCAAATTGCACACATATGATGGCTTTTTCGAGTATATATTTATATCCACCCCAGATTATGTAATAGTGTCCATGTATGATTTCCATCTCATAGCTTATCACGTCTATTTCGGTCAGTCAGTGTGCATTCTTATTGTATGACACAGGACATGTGGCTTTCTGTCACTCACCTGTGATGTTATCTTCCCTTCTATTGGTATTCTAAATATTTGTGTAGACATGATCTCTTTATCGCCACGCCTTGTGAGCACATTCACATATGCAAACTCCAGCAAGGCAGCGAAGACGAATATTAAGCTACTGACTATCCACACGTCGATGGCTTTAATGTAGGATACCTTGTACACAGAAGAGAGAGAATCAACATTAAATAGACCCCATTCATGATAGTGACAAAGAAAGCTTGATAGTTGTTGGTGAAAACAATTTAAGGCAAACGTAAGGCGGAGAATTATGCTTTCACATATATTATATCAAGTGCAATGGCTTAAATATAAGGTTCACTGCCTTCTCTGACCTCCATTTCTCTAACATTTTGTTTCCAGACTTAGATAAATATATAAAACACATTTTATGAGCTCCACGCGTGTAAATATTGTTATTTTTGTTTTAATGTAGTTTTTATGCAATTTATTGGCATACAGTTAATACTTAACAAGCCAACTTGTCAATCCTGTATTAGTCTTTTAATTTTCATGCTCGGATATCTAGCTAACTACACTTTATTCAAACACGTCTCAGGCAATAGCAAATTTATAACCGTTTCGAGTAAATAGATATATAATCAATGTCTACTATTCAGTTAGGAAGAAAATGTATGCAAAGATTTGGTATTAGGCAGGTAACCTTGATATATTATAAAAGTCAAAGGCGCATCCACAAATCAGTGTTAAGTTATTGTGTCATATAGCTAGCTTATAAAAGCCTGTGCCAGACTCTTTCTGTTGGCACTTCTCATGGCTGCCTTATGCATTTAATGCTTGTTTGTATGAAATTGGCCTTGCCGAGACTGCAACATGTGTTAACTTTTTCCGAAGGGACAGCAATGAACATTTTGTGGGATTTTCGCAGACACATGACCGTAGCAATTATGGGGTAAGCAATTTGCTATGAAGCTGCAACTGCTATTACCAGATTACTTTGTGTTGACAAGGTGTACGCTGTTACTTGTCATGGTTCGACATGTCCCAGGGTCAGATGGATTGTAGACCACCACAAAATGTCCAACCGCACTTTTAAGTGCGAAAGAAGAGAAAGAAGAAGAAGGAAAAGAAGAAGAAGAAGAAGAAGAATAAGAAGAAGAAGAAGAAGAAGAAGAAGAAGAAGAGGAAGAAGAAGAAAAAGAAAAA